GCCGTCAACAATCGAAAGATGAACGCCTGCGCGTTACTGTGCCGGATGTCGAGCGAAAGGCCAGAGTCTTCGACGAAGATGAGTTTAATCTCCATGATGAAGTTTGCCAAATCGAGAGTCCAGAGGATTATGGAGATGGCAAACATGATGAGGATGGCGAGCATGTTGAGCACGGAGGATCTTTTCCTCCACCGCTTGTCACTGCCAAAAACAATCAGTGGACGTAAAATTCCTGGGCGATTGGCCCCACAGTAGGACAAAGGCGGCTTTCACCACCAAGCCGCCATAGATCGCTGAAACGCATTAAGTACAGAAAGATGTCGAGATTCAAGGAAGTTGTTCACTGAGCAGTAGCGTCTCGTTCGTGATAGCGACGAACCCCTGGATGAGGTCGAGGCCAATGGTCCTCAGAGCTTTGGTTTCTTCGGGGGTCATTGGGACAGTCCAAGGGACATTGCACCGCAGTATACCATGTTTTTCAAAGTGGCTCCCATTTCTGATCAAGTACCTGATCTAATCAGTAAATCATTCGAAGGACCGGCAAAACCCGCAAGCTCTCGGAACTTTGTTTACTTCCAACTTCAAGTGGCAAAGACGATCAACGGCCTGTGCAGGACTACTGAAACGAGCTGGTCTGAAAATTACTAAAGGCGACAACCGCGGAGCGCTTGAAATTTGCGAGGTCAGTTATGTTCGAGATTGGTCTCCGAGTCTGAAGCCAACCTTGAGCCAACCACCGGATGCGCCCCGGATGATTTATAGAATTGTGTGGTCCGCGTGAACGGATAACATAACATATGGTACAGCTCGGCACATTTCGAAAAGGGGCCGTCTTATCAAGGTAGAGTTGGAATTCCGAGTCCATTGCTCGCTATCTCCGACGCCGTTGACTGGCGCATTAAGGTAACAGGTACTGTGCCTTGCCCTCTCCCTTTCATTTACCTTATTCTGCATCGCTTTCTTCTCCCTTTGGTAAAATACTCTTCGCCTGGTTTAATTCACCCAAACTTAGCTTAATTAGCTCCTGACGAGTTCTGTATATTACCTTGTAATTGTCGAATGAATCCCCTGCGTGTTTGCGAGGGTCTTCTGCTATTCCCGAGTAAAGGCTATGGCTACCTTTATTTCAACAGTACCAGCTGGTGTAACATTCGTAGTACTCCTTCAGGGTAGGCACTGGGCGGATCCGTCGACATGCATCGTGGCCGTCATGCCACAACTTGAGGTTGGCCATGGTCAACGTTGCTTTGAGAACGACTCCGTAATTGGAAAGACTCTGAATTGCCGTGATCTTGCGGATAACGATGGTCAGATCTGTGCCAAAATAATTTTTTGATGCTCGGCAGTTTATCTAATTTGTTTCCACTCCTTCAGTTGAGGACCCATTGAAACCGCTGGGATCATGGGCTCGATGAACTCAGAGCAATGCCCGACTCACACCTCGCGGGACACAGAAAGTCTCCCGAGCATGAAACTCGGACGCGCTTGTTCAAGTTAGCGGTTGCGTTCTTCACAGTCGGAACGCGGAACGTGTAGGGAAATGAGCAGGACGTTCCAAATCCAATATGTACTGAACAATATTCAAACTGTACGCAAATAAGCACCATCGGCGGGCGACGCAAGGGAAGCGCGACAGCTCACCCTGCCGGTTGAATTTGAGCGCTGGATCTCCAATCCTTCAATACCTCGATAATCATACTCAGTGTCAGAAAATAATTTCAACCGAGGGTCACGTGGTCTATGGTTCAATTCCTTGTTCAACTTCGCGCAGAGGCTCATTTACCCTCTCAGCCCTTCTGCCGGTGCTGATCAATTGAGATAATGACTTACGCTGATACGATGGGACAGCGCGTGCGGTTGTCCGATTAGCTGTTCCTCAGCTAGAATGATTCACTCTGGAATCGAGGCAGAATGAACACTGCCGTTGGGCCATAATTGCGACAGACCTGTGCGTATGGAAGGATGAAACAGCATACAATCTTTTGAGTCGCTAACTCAATTGATGGTGGCCGGATAATTATGGTCCATCCTAGACGTTTTTAATTTAGAATTCGGGTCCGGAAGTCAGTCTGTGGCAGTCCTCAACGTCTACAGCCTGAGAACAGCAATGCAGTGTCAGTGTCGAGCTCAACGACTGCGCAAAATTCAACCCAGGCGCCAGCGCGGCACCGAGACGCGTGAGACGCATGTACAGCACAGATCGCTATCAATGAACCCGGCCATTATTAGCTCTAGGAATACAGTATACAGTAGCTGCCTGCACAGGTTAAGATTTCGATGATAGAAGGACACAGCTCGCGAAGGTCACAGGGGTGGCGACATGAAGATGTTTGGAGGTTTCTGCTGGGAACCGAGTGCACACCTCGTAAGAATCCAGTGAGACAGATACTTGTCGAATGACGGGATTAATTTTCCACGGCTAAAATTTGGTTGCAATCTACCCTTTCCCCACGTTTCGAACATGCACCAGCATTGCTGCTGCGGCGACCACAGCAAGTGAGGGCGCCACCAATTTCGGTGCCAATCCCAACAAGAGGGGCGCGGCGATGAGCACGTGGAGCTGTGCCGTGTCGTTGAGTGCACACGTGCACCTCGTAAGAATCTAGTGAGACAGACGCTTGTCGAACGACGGGATTAATTTTCCGCGGCTAAAATTTGGTTGCAATCTACCCCTTCCCCACGTTTCGAACATGCACCAGTACTGCTGCTGCGGCAACCACAGCAAGTAAGGCGCCACCAATTTCGGGACCAATCCCAACAAAAGGGTGGGGCGCTTCACGGCGGTGAGCGGGTGGAACTGCGTCGTTGACCCCCGGGAACGCCGTCTCCGGCGCTTTCTTCCCGGAGACCCGGTCACCTCGAGCTCGAGCAGCCGCTCCGGCGGAACCAGGTGCCACACAGCGTCGTAGTACGCTGCGTGGCGCGCCTTGGCGATCTCCTCCGGCGGCGTGACACCTTCTGTGCCGAAAAGGACCACGAAGGCCATCCGGGGGAGGTTTGCCTTTTCCCCGCGTAGGCGGGTCAGGCGCACCTGCAGCGGGGGGCCAGCGTAGCCTCGTATTACTTCAACCAGCTGTCCGCGGTGCGCGTCGTCAGCAACACCTTCGCGTCGACGATCAGCTCCTCCGCGAACAGGATGTGTGGCGTGTCCGTCACGGCTTGTGCACAGCTGCAGGGGCACCGTGCGCTGGCACACCGGATAAGGAAAAATCTCGACCTACAGTAGGTAGAAATGTTAGCTAAAAGTGTCCGAGATTTTTCCTATTGGCTCGGGAAATGGTCGAGGTTTTTCCTTATCCAGTGTGTGGGTGCACAGTGTATGGAGCGCGCCGGTTTGCTGTCTGGAGACATTTAATTTTGGGGCAGTTGCCAGATGAGCGGCGGTGTGAATATGTATGGTCACTCTCCGCGCGCGCGCCCGCACGTAATGCTATTCAGTGGTTTCCACTGGTGGCAGCGCGTGTTTGAGTTTGATATGGATACAATAACATCGTATGCGGGCGGCGGTTCGGCTGGTTGAAACTTGAGAAATTGAGGGAGCGAAATGTTGGGTTGAAGGGAAGGAACGAAGCGCGTGAGGATGCGGATGCCCACGAGTTGAGGTTTATTGCAGGGGGCTCCGAGGTGTACGAGTGCGTCGTATTCGTGGCCACGCCAAGATAAAAGACCCGTAGAGAATGGGAGCCGCCGCATCGGCCGGTACCGCCCTTTTGGCCCTGGGTGTCTGCTGCAATAAGGCGGCGGTCCTCTGACGAGAAGTCGGAATGCAAAACTGAGGCCCGTCAGATGAGTAGAGGGAGGGAGATTGCCAGGGCTCGGGACTCAGAGGCAAATCCTCAAGTTGGTTCGATTCAGGAGAGGGCGCCATGAGAGCTGGGTCGGGCAAGGAAAGTTAGACCTGTAATCTGAGCGGCGCAAAGAGATAGGACAAGAAGAGACGGTTGAGTTGAATGGACCGAGAGGTCGAAGTGGTTTGTGGGCGTGTATGTTCGGAGTCAAGGTCGGATCAACCCGCGGCGACTGACGGCGGAGTTCGAATTCCTCTTCCCACTCTTTCATGTCACTGCATCGACGTGCCTCCGTGAGACTAAGATCCCAATGAAGATCCGGCTCCATCACAATTCCGTCACCATCCATGCAAGCGATAGCACTTATTCCGAGTCCATGCGGTCGGGCATTGAACGAGTCGATGTGTTCTCGACCATCGCGCTGGAATACTCATGCTACTGAGTCTGAAACTCATTCACGCGAGCTTGTCCAAGATCTCGACGCGATCGATCTCGTCGCCCACTCTACCAAGGTCTGCGAGGCATGCCATATATCCCCTCCGCCGTCTTCTGCAAGGACCAAGCGGGCGTCTCAACTACAATTTGGCTGCCATCCCACCTGAGAGTCTACCACGCCCACCAATCTATCAACGAATCAAATCGACGCGTTCCAACTCGTGTGCGCTCAAAATCTCATCCAAAGAAGTACCAGTTTGAACTACATACTAAAAATCGGTCTCCTCCTCCAACTAGAATCACACCATCCTCACGCTTCTATAGCAATTTGAACATGCCCCGGGAGCCCGTACGACCTTAGCTCGACAAATTACTTCAACCAATGACCATTGCAAGTTGAACATCCACGTGACCTCACATTGAACCTCGAGTCCTCGCCTCGACTCGGATTTAATTTATTAGACTCAGACTCTCTCGGACTTTGATGCTTACGCGTATGTACCATTCAACCCCCACTTCTCTTCTCGCTCTATCATGATCTGCAATTTCTACATAGCGTGCAGTGCCAGTGCCAGTTGGAATCGCTCTTTGAACAGAGAGGAGAGGGGGAGGGCTCCGGATCCGAGTGACGCTGCTAACACTTGAATTATAATAAAATACGGATTGGAAGTGGGTTGACTCGCTATCCAGTAGCAAGTCTTCCGGCTCTGACTGCATACCCGCTGGCACCGGCGCTACTCAATGCATCTCACAACGGAAAGTGGAACCAGCGCCGTCGGGCGTGTAGTATAGTTGGTTATTGCGCCCGCTTCGCATTCCCGTGGAAAGAATTTGGATTGCGGGAGGTCTGGAGTTCGACTCTCCACTCGTCCACATTTTTTGCTCTACGCGCCATCGATACGCAGTTTGCCTTTTACCTGCGGCTTCATCGATACACTGTGTTCATTCATCGATAGGGTAGATCGATCATGCCTTGCTACAAAGCAACCGCCCGCCCAATTCCCTCGACCTAATACCTCAGTGAGACATGGTATGCAGAGCTAGACTGCTGAGGTTACTTGGAACATAACTTGAGAATATACTGAGAGGATTTCGATGTAAGTGTAAGGCAGGATGAAAAATTCAACCACTGGCATCGCCTGCGAATTTAAAAATTCTCACGCTTCCTAGGCCTCAGAGTCTCGGTACCAAACTATTCGTTGAGCATATTTTTATTAAGGCCACGGAACCAGTCCCTACCTCCCTACCTCCCCGCGCAGAAATGGAAATGACATCTGTAAAAGTGACGCTTATAGCCAGTTGAAGTGTCCTTCGATTCGGCGGACAAGGTTAAGGTAAGGCGGTGGGGGAGGGTGGGAGAAGCATGCGGAGAGTTGGGGCTGAGGCTGATCATGCATGAGGGCGCAACTGAGGACGTTAGACTAGACTATACTCAATCGAGCAGGCGGAGTGAGCTTGAGCGCGGTGGACGGATTCGTTCGGTTTGTACTGTACTGTACTGTATGTATCTGAACCTGGTTACTGTATGACTTGAGTGGGTTTTGACTCGGAGCGCCATCGGGTTGGGGTTCAGAGCGCGCTAGCGCGGGGTGGGTGTGGGGCTTGTACCGCCCTGAGATGGACGTGGACGTGGATGTGGACGTGGAGTCGGGTGTGGGGTTCAGAGAGCGCTAGCGGGGGCGAATGTGGGGCTTGTACCGCCCTGAGACGGACGTGGACGTCGACGTGGACGTGGGGATGGGGATGCGCTGAAGATGCGTGCTCAATCACAATTAATAATAGGCGTCCCGATTTTGTGGAGGAATTGATTATTGCCAGCCTGAGGAATTGAGATATTGGAGTCGTGTAACTTTTGAGTCGTGTAACTTTTTGTTGGGCAGCCTTCGCTGGGTGAGGGCAAGGGTGGGAGAGAGATGCACGGAGCGACTGAAGAGCTGCGCTGAGACTGATTGATTATGGATGGGGGTGTGCGACGAGAGCGGTAGGAGGCAGAGGCGAGGGAAGTACAGGCAGAGGCACAGGCACAGGCACGCCAAGGCGGGGGCGGGGGCGGGGGCGGCGGTAAAGGAAGGCGGGTGAACGCGGACGGAGCAAGACTCGTATAGCTTGTTTGGGGTTAGAGTACGTCGAGATGTTTATTTTAGGTCAGATGCCTTGGCCAATATATACCGGTACTTATAAAGCCTTGGGGATGCGGATTTCAACCGTCTTGTAATAGACTTTTTGCGTGCGGGTAAGACTCCGAGCGAGAGGCGGAGATATTCGGACGAGATCTAGCGAGCTGTTTAATAAATCCGGAGTGTTGTTCCATCGTGGGCGAAGGGAGGGAAGGGGAAACTGTGGGAAGCCGGTCGTAGGTACCTATTTTTGCTCGACGGATGGAGCAAGAAGCGGAGCAGGCGGCCGCGGACGCCGCGGTGGTGGTATAAATAATGGTAGAGTGAGTTGCGTGGAAAGAGATGAACCGGACGGAAGACCGTTTGTCATTGATTCACACACTCCGCAGTGCTAGCCAAATTTAGAGACCGGACGCTTAGACTTTGACCCTTACCCCGATGGCGTGGTGTAAGCAGCCTGCTCGCTGTGCCCGCCGTCGTCGACGCTGACCGTCCCTAGACCACGCCCAGTTCACAACACGCCGCTTCAACCCGTACACCCCCAACCCCGTCTCGCTTGCCACCCTTGCCCCGGCCACCGACCCCAAGAAGCCCGCGCAGACGCCCGACTCGCTCTTTGGCCCCAACATCGGCCCCGTCGAGCCCGGCCCCGCATGGACAGCCCACACCCAGCCAAAGCGCCTCGTCGACCCCGACGAGCTCACAACTGACACCGTCCGCCAGTGGATCGAGAAGGCAAAGCAGCCGTCAACACCCACGACCACCCTCCAGGCCCAGGTCAACCTCCGCCGCCCCACCCTCCGCCTCGCGCCCCTCGCGCCCGCAGAGGGCGTCACCATCCAGGACGCGCCCCATCTGCTCGAGTTCCAGTTCGACTGCTCCGCGCCCCAGTGCGGTGTGCACGTGCACGTCCTCCTCCCGCCGGCCCACCCGGACGCCCCCGCACACGGCGGCGCCCTCCGCGTCTTCGACGCCGTCGTCCCCGGCGGCTTCGCCCGCGCGCTCGGCCCTGCAGACGCCGCCGTCATCGAGCTCGCGCGCTTTGAGCGCATGCCCACCTCCTCCGCCTCCACTGCGCCCGCCGCCCCGTCTGCCCCAGTGGCTACCCCCGCGGCGACCCCAGCGGCCGCCACCGCGGCGCTCCCCGCGGCCCCCGAGCGCCGCCGCTTCACGCCGTTCCACTTCCGCCGCCGCACAGGCACGGGCACCGCTTCGGCCCCTGTCGCCGGCGCGGCGCTCGCGGTCGTGGAGGACGACAAGAAGGCCGAGGGCGACGGCGACGACGGCACGGGCGTGCGCGTCACCATCCGCCTCGTCGCCCTCGACGCCGCCGGCCGCGAGCTCGACTCGCCCAACGAGCAGACCGTGTATTTGGTCGTCGGGCGTCTTGGCGCGCCGGCTCCTCCTCATCCTACTCCTGCTCCTGCTCCTGCTCCGGCGACTTCTGGTACTTCCGAGGAGGAGAAGAAACCCGACGCCGAGACCGCCGTCCCCGTCGTAGAAGCGGATGCAGACCCGCGCCCGTGGCTCGTGCGCGTCGTCAAGCGCGAGGCCACCATCGGCCCGCATACCTTCCACCTCCACGAAATATACGGGCTTAGCAGCGCCGCGACGGGTGAGTTTTTACTTTGCTTCCGCGCTTCGTCTTTGCGCGACTCGTGCTTTTTCACGAGCGCGTTCCGTGCGTGCTTGAAGTCCCGCTCTTCCTCTTCTGCTTCCTCCCCCTTCGAAACCGTACTAACCCCTCCTTTTTCCCCCCTTCCCTCAGCCGCGCCCGCGCCCGCGCCCACTGGGTCGACGACGACGTATCCGCCTCAACGTGAGTCCTCCTCTCCTCTTGTTTTCGCGTATATATATATATACTGGGGGGTTTGGGTATCGGGATTTTTTTTTGGTTGGGGCGGTGTGGCCAGCCCCGATGTCGTTTTTTCTCGGTGGTGGCGGGAGCTTTTCGGCCTTTCATATTGCTGGTCTTGCGGTTTATTTCCCCCGCACTTCTTGATCCCGCTTTTTTCTCTTCTTTGCGTGCTTTTCGTGTTATCTATTATTCCACACGTTTCTATCATCGCCCCTGTTACCTTCCTTCCTGCCCATCCCACGCCCGTATCGAGCGGATGCTATAACGATACTGATACTGATGCTGACGCGCGCCCCGAACAGCCCCGGTCGAGGACCCGCCCGAGCGCGAGTGTCTTTTGTGTCTTAGCGCGCCGAGGGAGGTGCGTTATTGTTTCCCTTTTTTTCTCCTACTCCCATTCCGATTCCCTCACTCCCCACGCTCACTCACCCACCCCCGCCCTTACCCACACATAACCCGCACGCCCCCCCTCCCCTCCTCCCCTCTAACGCCCCCCTCTCATAACCCCTCATAACCCCCGCTAACCCCTCTTCCTCCTCCGCAGGTCGTCCTCCTCCCCTGCCGGCACCTCGTCGCGTGCCGCCCGTGCGCGCTCAACATGGTCGAGTTTGGCGCGGGGGGCGTGATCGTGCCCGAGGCGGAGGCCGCGGAGGGGGAGGCTGCTACGCCAGCTGCTGAGGAGCCTGTTGAGTCGCCTGCTGAGTCGCCTGCGGAGGGGGTGGAGTCGCCTGCTGCTGCTGAACCCACTGCGTCACCTGTGGAGGGCGCGGAGGCGTCCCCCGCAGAGGGTGCGGAGGCGTCCCCCGCTGCGAATGGGGCGGCACCAGCGAGTGAGACGCCAGCGACTCCGGCGCCTGCGGCCCCGCTGGTGATCGCGACGACGACGACGACGAGGAGGAAGCGCAAGGCGAAGGGGTGGTTCTGTCCTGTTTGTCGGCAGCGTGCGTCGTTTCTCCTCTCTCTCTTTCTCTCTCCCTTTTTTGGGCATTGTTGGTACTCGGCGGATCGAACGTCGACGTCGGTTTGGACGAGCGATGACGAGACGTGGATTTGGATTCGACTTCACTCCACCCCGAGACGGGTGGGGGCCGGGCGAGCTTCGTACTTTGACCCGCCCGTCTTTGCTTCCCCTCCTAAACGAAACACGAAAACTAAAACTGACTCTTTTACAGCATACACCTCCCTGCTGCGCATCACGACCGCGCCGCCGCCTGCCGTCGCTGCGCCTGCGGTTCCCAATAGCCCCGGGGGGAATGGGGAGGGGGGTCAGACGGGGGAGGAGGAGGGTACGTTTTTTGTTTTTTGTTTTATTTTTAATTGGGGGGGGCGTGCGGACAACGTTGGTGTCTGGGAGGCGGACTGTGGAGGGGGATGAGTGCACGTCGTCCGCGTGGGAAGAGGAGTGACGTCCCTCGACGCGGCCCACGCCGGCGGAGCAGTGCGCATGCCGTCCGCGGTGCCCTCTTTCCCCCTCGTTTTCTCTACGACGCGATGCCGACGCTGACTTGCTACCTACATACCTATAGGCGGAAACGGAAACAGCACAGGCGGCGGGCTGCTTGGCGGGCTGAGCGGGCTCAGGCCTGCGTTTTTGCGGGGGCTGTCGATCCGCGAGAGAGGACGGGGGACGGGGGCGGGGGATGTGGAGGCGCAGGTGTAGGCGGGAGGGGTATTCCATTTACGGCGGTTTTTATGAGGAGGGGCGGGTGTTGGGCGTTGAGAGAGGAGGGAGGGGGGGAGTGTACGATATGTATTGATACTGATACGGATACGGATACTGATACGATGCTGATGCGAGTTGGGGAGGGAGGGAGGGGGGGAGGGAGGGATGGATGTATGGATGGGTTGGCTTTGAATTATGTTATCCATTTTTCGTCTGTGGGGGAGGGGGGGAGGTG